TCCTCACCTGGATGGCTTTTCCTGGCTGTGTGAGCAATCAAAGGGGGGATTGGGAGCTGAGGAGCAGCTGCAGCCCTGCGCACGAGCAGCAGCAGCAGGAGACAAGGGAGCACCTTGGCCACCCATTCCATGGCACCAGCCAGAGCAACAGCTGCCCTGCGCTGCCTGGCTCCAGCTTCTGACCTCTGACCTGGCCAATGGGCAGTGCCTCAGGGAGAGAGATGAAGAGAGGTGGGTCGGCGGGCGTAGCTCACCCTGTGGCTTTGCACCCTGGACGGCTGCCCTGCTCTGGTTATGGCACTGCAGTTGTGAGGGTGGGGGGGGCGGCGGCAATGCCATTCACAAACTCTGCCCTTGTGGATAGGGAGAGAGAACTTGAGGTACTGTAACTTGCTTTTATAGTTCAGTTACCCTTTGAAATGCATTTTCCTGAGGGCTACCCCTAGTTAAAGTTTATTCAGTAAAGAAGGTGACAGGGTGTCCGGTGGGGAAAGATGTTCTATGCTGTTTCTTCTTGCCTCCATTTGCTGAAATGCCAATTTTCCTTGTCTCCTGTCTTCCTTCTATGCCAAAGAATGGCCACTTGACAGGTGATTGCCCATCAGCTTTGACGACAACTGGTTGGAGGTATCAGCTTTGTCCTTTGTCTTTGAGAAACAGGTTTACGCACTCCCCAGACTAGTCAGGTAAACGCACTTCAGTTATGATTTCAGCTTATGTTCCCAACTTTACATATAATGTTGCTACATACATTTTCACCATGATATTGACCAGCAAGTTACAGTATTAGTTTTCAAATCATACCTTAAAAGGCATATTTTGTACAAAGATTATCACAATGGTGTGCAGGGTGTGAATACAGGGGTGCATTCTACCACAGGAAGCTTGGGGAAGAGCTGGGGTGGACAGGAGTGAGGGGGTGGATGGGGCAGGAGCCAATGAGGGATGGGTGGGGGGGTGGGAGGGCAGGGTAGGAGCCAGGGGGACGATAGGAGCAGGAATGAGATGGGCAAGAAGTTGGATGGGAGGATAACAGGAGGGCAGGGACAAGGACAGGAGCTGGGGAGGTGAGGGAGCAGAAGGGACCTAGAGAATCTGTGGGGGGAACAGCTGCAGAAAAGTCAGTAACCACTAAAGAACACTGCCCTCCAGAACCTGGAGGTGAACCCACTATTTTTGGCTGAGTCTCAACATTCATTTGCTGTCTATCAAATTATAGCTGTGAAACCCCTGTGGGAAGTGTGACTCCTTGCCCCTTGCTTCAGTGTGGCAGGTCCACACAGAAGATAACAGCCTTCTACTGCTACCATTTACTCTGTTAATTCAAGTACAAGAGGATCTAAAGATATCAACTGTGCTGGTGACTCATGTGAGTGGGTCAGTATAGTTCCACAAGATGGAACTTTTTGTTTTTTCAATGTTTGTTTTTTTAAATATCTAGAAAATTACATTAAAAGAATGTTAAGGTTGTGAAGTCAAGCACTCAGAAGTTAGAAAAATTAATGTAGGCATTTCCTAATGCAATCTTGATTCAGCCCACTTGTGCATATGCATTATAATGCACCCTTTATGCCCCTTTAAGAAGGAGTGGGCCCTGTCAACCCTGTGCCTGGTTAATTGCCTTCTATTGGGACTGGAAAGAAGACACCCAGTTTATATAAAACATCAGGCAGCAGCTGGAAAAGGGAGAGACAGAAATGGGGAGCTGGGAGAAGGTTGAATGAGAGCTACTAGAGCAGTAATTCTCAAACTTTTGTACTAGGGACCCCTTTCACACAGGAAGGTCCAGGGAAGCAGTCCCATAGGCTGGTGTTCCAGCCAAGGAACAGGGAGCTGGGAAGAACCCAGGGGAGGAGTAAGAGTTTAAGCCCAGAGTGGGAGGATCTTGGTTACTCTGCATTGTTAAATCCAGGGTAGGTGGATACTGTTTATATTATGGGTTTCAGAGTGGCAGCCGTGTTAGTCTGTATTCGCAAAAAGAAAAGGAGTACTAGTGGCACCTTAGAGACTAACAAATTTATTTGAGCATAAGCTTTCGTGAGCTGCAGCTCACTTCATCGGATGCATTCAGTGGAAAATACAGTGGGGAGATTTATATTCACAGAGAACATGAAACAATGGGTGTTACCATACACACTGTAAAGAGAGTGATCACTTAAGGTGAGCTGTTACCAGCAGGAGAGCAGGGTGGGGGTGGGGAACCTTTTGTAATGATAATCAAGGTGGGCCATTTCCAGCAGTTGACAAGAACGTCTGAGGAACAGTGGGGGTTGGGGGAGCTTCATGTTGGGTCTTTGAGTTTGTCTAGGGAACACAGGAGAAACCTAGCAATCCATACTCTGATTGAAGAGGGAGGTCACAGAAGAGCCTAGCTTTTGCACTAGGGTGATGGAGTATACTTCATGACTTTGAAGCATTAATGTTAATAAATTAGCCTGCAGCAAGGGCACTATTGAACTGAAGAGTGAAGATGGAGTTTGAGGCACCTTTATGAGGGGGAAATGGAACTTGGGGGTGCCAATGTGGCCATTTCTACCCAAAAGGGGTGCTGCAAGAGTACTTCCCTTGTTACAGTTCAATTACATGATCCTATACTATCTTCTGCCCAGGACACCTATTTCATTCAGGGCATAGCATGGATGGTGCTCCTTGAATGGGTAGCTAGCCAAAAAAAAATTTAAGCCTCATCATTCAACCTGGGGTTCTTCATTATTTTAAAATACTTTTTTTTACTGTAATGCTTCAGTCATAAATATAAAGGGAAGGGTAAACCCCTTTGATATCCCTCCTGGCCAGGGGAAAGCTCCTCTCACCTGTAAAGGGTTAAGAAGCTAAAGGTAACCTCGCTGGCACCTGACCAAAATGACCAATGAGGAGACAAGATACTTTCAAAAGCTGGGAGGAGGGAGAGAAACAAAGGGTCTCTGTCTGTCTATATGCTGTTTCTGCCAGGGATAGACCAGGAATGGAGTCTTAGAACTTTTAGTAAGTAATCTAGCTAGGTACGTGTTAGATTATGATTTCTTTAAATGTCTGAGAAAAGAATTGTGCTGAATAGAATAACTATTTCTGTCTGTGTATCTTTTTTGTAACTTAAGTTTTTGCCTAGAGGGATTCTCTATGTTTTGAATCTAATTACTCTGTAAGGTATCTACCATCCTGATTTTACAGAGGTGATTTCTTTACTTCTATTTCTCTTAAAAGTCTTCTTGTAAGAAAACTGAATGCTTTTTCACTGTTCTCAGATCCAAGGGTTTGGGTTTGTGGTCACCTATGCAAATTGGTGAGGCTTTTTATCCAACATTTCCCAGGAAAGGGGGGGTGCAAGTGTTGGGAGGATTGTTCATTGTTCTTAAGATCCAAGGGGCTGGGTCTGTAGTCACCTAGGCAAATTGGTGAGGCTTTTTACCAAACCTTGTCCAGGAAGTGGGGTGCAAGGTTTTGGGAAGTATTTTGGGAGGAAAGACGTTTCCAAACAGCTCTTCCCCAGTAACCAGTATTTGTTTGGTGGTGGTGGCGGCCAATCCAAGGACAAAGGGTGGAATATTTTGTACCTTGGGGAAGTTTTGACCTAAGCTGGTAAAGGTAAGCTTAGGAGGTTTTTCATGCAGGTCCCCACATCTGTACCCTAGCGTTCAGAGTGGGGAAGGAACCTTGACAGCTTCATATAGAATGACCTGATGCTTGACACAGTCAGGAGAAAGTGTTCACAGAACTCACCAGAATGGTAGAGCAGAGCCAATTAAATGAAACAGACAAGGATCTGACTTTCCCCTTAACTGCTAGTACTCTGCAGTTGCATGTGATTACTTTATTTAAGACTATGATGACAACTAGGTCTGTCATTTATTTAATAGTATATTGGTCAAGGCAGGAGGAAGATAGGTTTCCCAAAACAAATTGCTACAGCCCTGGCACAGAGGCAATTAAAACCAGACAAAGATTTGACTCATCTCAAATTGCACACAGAGTTATCCAGGTATGTGACAAGAGAAAGTTCAATTTAAACTCTACACCCAGTTAATAGATCTTATAGTTGCCTAACTTTTTCTAGGCATGATGTTTCAGGCAAGGCCTGTAGGGCCCAGAAAGGAAAATGTCTTAACATTCTCTAATCCTGTCTGTTACCTCTCCTTGATAAATTCAAAACTTCAGGAGCTACTTGTCCAATCAGGGAAGAAAAAAATATCAGGTGACTTAAACCTCCCATCACAAGTATTCAAATATTGAATACTTTCAGCAAGCAGTTATCAATTGACACTTACAAAATACTTTTAGTCAATTCAAACAGATATATACAGTATTTGAGGAAAGTGCAATCTCATCAGACTCTTAAATTGTTGGTTTTGTTAATTAATAAAAACTTAGTTAATTCAACCCTATAATGAGATGGATTGGTCTGCAATGGCCGTTAACCCTTTTCTTTGTGGAGTCTCCTAATGGTCTCAAATTTAACCTAAAGCAATAAACATCTGAATATCATTTCACTTTTGCCTCATTATTTTAGAGAAGCTAGGAGAAACAGAGTGCTATTGGTCCATTTCTCTTCCCCTGTCCTGTTTTCAGCATCATCACATTGTCTCAAATCTTCTTTTGTGGTAGATCAGGAAGATGGCAACTGAGCAAGAAAATGTTTCTGCAGAGAATTCAATGGATAATGATTCTCCAAGCTGTTACTACATTGCAGCAACCTCAGGTGCTACCTTGTGTACTAAGGGGGTGGAATATATTTGGATTCCTGGAGCCAGCAGTCACACCAAGTAATCAAAGCAGTGACACCTGCAGTGCTGATCACTGGCTTGTAACTTGTCTTGCCAACTACTAACCTTCATTGGCCTCATCGCATGAAACTGGTAGTGGGTGGCTGAAAGCTGCAGTAGGCTGATTAAATATAAATTGTGAAATATGCTTCTTGGTGTCTCTCCTATGTAGTCTGATCAAAACCCAGAGGCCTTTCCCTTTCCATCTCTCCCCCTCCACAGTCAGCCATAGGAGCCCACCTGTTTCCAGCAGCTCCTCCTTCAAGTGAGCTCCTTCAGCCCTTTACAGGAATCACCAGATGCCATCTGGGTGTAATAATCCTTTCTCCCAGGGTCGAACACCTCTTCCAAAAACCAGTCTCCAAACAAGGGCGGGCAGGCCGGGGGGGCTGGCCCTAGGTCCCCTAATGTAAAGCTACTCAAACAGAAGTCTGGTCACTCAAAGACTCACAGCAAGCACAGGAAAAGGGTTAGGATTATCAAAGGTCTGCATCCCCCTACAGGGCCTGAAACTTATCACTTCCCTCACAAGCCTAGCTGCCTCACTCAGCCACAAGTCAGCATATCTCCCTGAACAGCTGCTGCTCACTCCACCCACTTTACTCTCTATTCAGGGGGTTTTAATGGCTTAAGATATATCTACATAGCAAAAACTGAGCGCAGGCCAGCTTACGCAAGCTAGTTTGAATCCAGCTAATGAGGGTAACAAGAGGAGCAGTGAAGACAACAGAGGTAGTACAAGCCTGGCATGGACCCTGGCTATGTATTTGGCTTGCTAGCTCGCTCTGAAGTCCTCATGGAGGTGTCTTTGCTGCTGTTGTTACTTGCACTAACTGCATTCAAGCTAGCTCAGGTATGCTAGCCTATGCACAATGTCATAAATATAAAGGGAAGGGTAAACCCCTTTGAAATCCCTCCTGGCCAGGGGAAAGCTCCTCTCACCTGTAAAGGGTTAAGAAGCTAAAGGTAACCTCGCTGGCACCTGACCAAAATGACCAATGAGGAGACAAGATACTTTCAAAAGCTGGGAGGAGGGAGAGAAACAAAGGGTCTGTGTCTGTCGGTATGCTGGGTCTTAGCCGGGGATAGACCAGGAATGGAATCTTAGAACTTTTAGTAAGTAATCTAGCTAGGTATGTGTTAGATTATGATTTCTTTAAATGTCTGAGAAAAGAATTGTGCTGAATAGAATAACTATTTCTGTCTGTGTATCTTTTTTGTAACTTAAGGTTTTGCCTAGAGGGGTTCTCTATGTTTTTGAATCTAATTACCCTGTAAGATATCTACCATCCTGATTTTACAGGGGGGATTTCTTTATTTCTGTTTACTTCTATTTTTTATTAAAAGTCTTCTTGTAAAAAACTGAATGCTTTTTCATTGTTCTCAGATCCAAGGGTTCGGGTCTGTGGTCACCTATGCAAATTGGTGAGGCTTTTTATCCAACATTTCCCAGGAAAGGGGGGGTGCAAGTGTTGGGAGGATTGTTCATTGTTCTTAAGATCCAAGGGGCTGGGTCTGTAGTCACCTAGGCAAATTGGTGAGGCTTTTTACCAAACCTTGTCCAGGAAGTGGGGTGCAAGGTTATGGGAAGTATTTTGGGGGGAAGGATGCGTCCAAACAGCTCTTCCCCAGTAACCAGTATTAGTTTGGTGGTGGTAGCGGCCAGTCCAAGGACAACGGGTGGAATATTTTGTACCTTGGGGAAGTTTTGACCTAAGCTGGTAAAGATAAGCTTAGGAGGTTTTTCATGCAGGTCCCCACATCTGTACCCTAGAGTTCAGAGTGGGGGAGGAACCTTGACCTACAACTATTACTGTGTAGACATACTCTTTGTGTTCTTTGGGTCTTAGGCTCTGGCCTTGGAAAAACTGACCTTTTAATCTGGCTTGAGACAGGCAAGTAGGTATTTCCCAATGAAAAGCTCACTGATTGTTCTCTTAAAGGCCCTTGTTGTTATCCCTGCAGTTACCCTATCAGCTATTTTTCCTGCTTGTTTCTCCTTAACAGCCTCCTTTGATCAAATTCCGTGCAATCAGCCAAATAATAGCAGGCAGGTAAACTGAGATATATACAATATTCATTCAAAATAACATACATATTTCCCGTATTTTCCACATTGGGAATGACATAAAGGGGCTCTAAAATCCCCATATACAAGAAGGGGAGGATTCACCCAACAAAGGCCCTGTGGAAGGTTTAAGATGTAAGGTTTCTTCTTTTTCCCCCCTCAAAAGCCCTGGCCTAGAGGTTGTGGAGGGGTAGAGGAGGGGCATTCTGGGGACAGGGCCACAGCAAGATTCTGGGCAGCTATGTGGCCCATAGAGGAGCCCTGGAAGGCTGCCATAACTTAGCTGGGACTTCAGTGCTGTCTCTGTTTCCTGAGGCCCTCTCCAACTTAAATCCATTTTAACCCCCCCTCTTCCTAGGCTGTTAATTCTGTGTACACTGTTATATTTAATAAGGGGATGCTCCACATACATGAACACGAAAGTATCACTCACTGAAGTGCTGAGTGCCCTCATCTCCCATTGATATCAGTAGGAATTCAACACCTTACTGGATCAGATCCATAAAAGAAAAATCCCAAAGGTTCCATTCTTTGTCCCTTTACTCCTCATGCTTTCAGGCCCCTATGCCATGACAGCTGTCCTTCCAGCCAAGGAAGGCTGAACTTTACTCCCTCTATTGACTGAGTACAGACAAGGCCACAGAACATTTATTCCAGCTACTGTACAACACATTGTTAGTGTGTTAAGTTAAAAAAAAAAAAGGCAATCCGTGCTTGAAAGATGGAAGGTACTATTTAAATGCTAATTATTTTAATTAGCATGGGGTAAGGGATACAGGCATCAGCCATTATAAACTGTCTTTTCTAATGATGTGTACATTGTCTAACACATTGGGACCTCCAAGTGCTACAACAATACAAATAAATAGCAGTCAGCCAGGGTAGAGGAGAATCAAAAAACAGAGCTTTTAATCTTCTCTCACAAGCCTGCTCTCCTACTTCCTTTCTTGATCTCTGGGAAACACCACCATCCTACCTATCACTCAGGTCTGTAACTTGGGTGTCATCTTTGATCTCTCTCTAGGTCCTCATGTCTATATTATGTCCAAATCTCGATTCTTTCTGAATAATATCCCTGAGACGAGACCTCCTCTCCTATCGAACCACACAGCTAAACTCTCGACCATACTGTCACAGTTTCAGGGCAGCTGCACCTATTTTCTTTTCAGAAAGAGGCTGGATAGCCATCTGTCTTGGATGGTTTAGACACAACAAATCATGTATCTTGGCAGGGGTTTAGACTAGATGATTCTTGTGGTCCCTTCTTACCCTATGGTTCTATGATTCTATCCCTGCTCTGTGGTTCGCTCCAGGAGTTCCAAGTCTTGTCTCCAGCCATCACCCGTCTCTGGGCAGGGTACCTTGTACCACTGCATTCTGACTGGGGTTTTTAGAGCTCCCTGCCTTTCACTGTGATATCCCCAGTAAGCCAGCCTAAAGGCCAGTGCCTATGTGTTGCTTTCTCTCCACGGTCTATGAACCGTGTGTTGCCAGCAGTTACAAGTTACCACATAGCTCTTTCTAAGCAAGCACATATATTCTTAAGGTAAAGCATTACAGAGAAACCATATAGAGAAGTTGCTATACACATGCTAAAAGCTTACTGGAGGTCACCCATCAGTCTTAAGGGACCCTATAAGGTCAAAAGAAAAAGGAGTACTTTTCTTTTTGCGAATACAGACTAACATGGCTGCTACTCTGAAACCTATAAGGTCAAAGTCTTTCCAACCCGTCCACAAGGTTTGGGTCTCCCTTGGACAGAAGGTCCTGTCCATTTAGATTAGAAAGATGGAGTCAGTTTAAACCCCATCTTTTTATTTCAAAAGCCCTTTCTTTGTTGATTTCTGGAAAACTCAGTTTGAACCAATATATGCAAGCCTCCCCAGGAATGGTACTTCTCTGGAGGGGTTTACAACCTAAGTAATTCACCTTAATCATCCCTGGAGGAGCAATCATAACCATCCCCTGAGGAGTTGCATATAATCTCTGACTCACAGCAATACATACACTTCACAAAATATGGTCCCCAAAGATTTTGCATGGGATTGTGATATCTGTCTCTCAGGCTCTCATTTTTTGTCTCTGTTCCTGCAACATTCTTTTCTCTGGCCTTGGTAAAAGGAGTGATAGAGTTTAAGATCAGAATGGACCAGTAGATCCATTCTGTAGATCATACTTTCATGCACATGTTACATATTGTCATCCTTACTGAAAAGTGAGGCAAAGTATTCATTTAGTTTTTGGGCCACACCTACTTTATCTTTAGTCTCCTTCCCATTCTCATGGCATACTGGCTGTGATGCTCTGTACCTCAGGGGAACACGCAGCACCCCTATGTTAATCCTTGTAAAATGATTATGTGGTATCCAATGCAAAGTTTGTCATGTCGGGTGTCTTCGGAAGGCTCATAATGCACTGAGCATAGTTGTTTTAGTGATGTTACAGTAAGGTTATAGTAAGGTTATAGATTATAATTTCACGTATGTAGTTATGAGGCTGAAAATGTATCCTCGTGGCTTAAAATAAGCCCAGGCAAAAACTCTCCAAGAGCAGAGAGGCAGTTCATATCTCATCAGGGTAGGTATGGACAAACCCAGCCCAGCCTCACAGGAACAAAGGATGCTGGCCTAGGCAGCAACAAAAGAATCTGTTAGACTCTTGAGGAAGTCACCCCCCTTCCTTTGGTCAGTTTGGAACTGTGATGAGGTAATGCTCACCTGACTCTGAAGGGGGGGCAAAGCCAAGAGGGGAGAAAAGGACATGATAAAAGGGAGAAACATTTGCCATGCTCTTCCTCTCTCTTCCACCTACATCTACAGCCACCACACCAAGCAACTGAAACACGGATCAAAGGGGAGAGCCTGGCTGAAGAGCAGCCGGCCAGCCAGCCTGTGGTGAGAAGCATCTAAGTTTGTAAGGATATTGAGAGTGTTAAGATCAGCTTAGAATGCGTTTTGCTTTTATTTCATTTGACCAAATCTGATTTGTTATGCTTTGACTTATAATCACTTAGAATCTATTTTTATAGTTAATAAATCTGTTGATTCTACCTGAAGCAGTGCATTTGGTTTGAAGCATGTCAGAGACTCCCCTTGGGATAACAAGCCTGATACATATCAATTTTTGTTAAATTGACAAACTCATATAAACTTGCAGCGTCCAGTGGGCATAACTGGACACTGCAAGACTGAGGTTCCTAGGGTGGTGTCTGGGATCGGAGATATTGGCTAGTGTCATTCGGTTGTACAATCCAAGGAGCAGCTTACATGCCAGAGGCAGTGCGTGAGCAGCCCAGGAGTGGGGGTTCTCACAGCAGAGCAGGGTAAGGCTGGCTCCCAGAATCAAGGATTGGAATGACCTAGCAGATCACCGGTCCAGATAACACCAGAGGGGAACATCACACTGGCCCAACCTCATCTTTCCTTATCCTCTTATTTATAAAACTAAAAAACCTATTATTTTAAGTTCCTTAGCAAGAGCTAAGTA